CAGTATCAGCGTTTGGTAGGAAGATTAATTTATCTTACCAACACCCATCCTGATTTAGCTTTTGCTATTAATGTTGTGAGTCAGTTTATGTATGCTCCTCGTACAGCTCATATAGATGCAGTATATCATATTCTTCGATATCTTAAGTCCTGTCCTGGACTTGGATTATTCTATTTTTCTAGCAAGCAGATTGGGTTATCCTGTTTCAGTGATGCAGACTATGCTGAGTCCAAGACTGACACATTCCACATCTGGCTTATGTACTTTCTATGGAGATTGTCTTATATCCTGGAAAAGTAAGAAGTAACTTGTAGTTTCGAGATCTTCAACAGAGGCTGAGTATCGTGCCATGGGCCAGGGTACTTGTGAGATTCTTTGGCTTCGATCTTTCTTGGAGGAACTAGGGCTAAGTGAAAAACAGTCCTACTTGTTTTGTGATAATAAGTCAGCCATCATGCTTGCTTCAGATTATGTTCTTCATGAGACGACTAAACATATAAAGGTGGACATTCATTTTATTAGAGAGAAGGTTCGTTCGGGGTATCAAGTCATGCTTTATTCGGTCCTCGAATCAGTCGGCAGATGTGTTCACCAAATCCATTGGTCCATCTTCGCTTCATTCCTCAATTACCAAGCTGGGCCTGATTGATATCTTCACTCCAGCTTGAAGGGGAGTGTTGAAATATCTGTATTATTATTATTTTTATTTTTATTAGCTGTTTACAGCCTTTTATTAGGTGTTTTATGTAAGATCCCTGTTATCATGGGATCACGTAGATAAGATCCCCGTAATCATGGGATCACGTACATTTTGGCATATTTCCTATTTTTCTTTGATTTGGTTTCCTTTCTTTGTACTCTATTCTTCTATATAAATATAGCTGTTGGGTCTCGGTTTTGCATACGCTAAGACCCAAAACTTCTTCTTTTGTGCGTCCGATCCTTCGCTAACCCTTAGGCCCAAAGGTCAAGCCTAACAAATGTAGAGTGTAAAGAAAGAAGGTTGGATCTCCAATTAGGCCAATCCGTACAAACGGACCGCCCCACAGAAGAATAAGGCCCATCAACCTCCAGTTTGGAAGCCAAAATAGGAAATTAGGGCAAGAAAGAATGTACTATAAATAGAAGTAAGAAAGAAGGAAAGGGGAGATTGTTTTGGAGTGTAAGAAAAACTTTCAAATAATAAAAGAGAAGATTTCTTGCATCTTCAGGTTGATAGTATGAAAATCTACTTTGTTGTTCAAAGATGTATAAATATTAACGTAGAGTGTCATAATGGGCTTTTCAAGCTCACACATTCCGTAACATTTTTTTCAAATAAATCGAACAAGCAAAATATGTCTAAGCTTAGGCTAGTAGGCTTTGTTGTAGTCATAGTTTAGCTTTATAAATTATGAATAAGATCATACGAAGTCACAATATTCATTTTCAATTTAATAAATATGGCTTTGAATATTTACATCTAGAATTATTTACTATAGAGAATTTCCGTCCATTTCATTAAATATATATATATATATATATATATATATATATATATATATATATATATATTTTTGATAAGTACCATTTCATTAAATTTATTTACATATGCTAGTTGGTTGAGATTGTGATTAACATGTATGTGAGATTGGAACAGTAAATATATATATATATATATGACAGTATTTTGAGGTGAGACAAGTTGGAACTATTAGCTAAGATATAGAAATTAATTCTTGTAAAATTTCAAACTTTTTGAACTATGTATTACTTTTAATGAATTGTGCAGTTCAACCTAGTGCTGCAAATTTTCAGCATACACCATTCAAGTTTAAGAATGTGACAATTTTTCTATTGTTTCGGTTCTGACAAATTGTGGAAAAATGACGATACCAATATTTATGAAGTCTACTGTAAGGAAAAGTTATATTTACACAGAGTTGTTTTCGAGTGAATTCCACCTACCACCCCTGATCTTTGCCATAATTCCACTCACAGCCCCTCTACGTTTCATAATTCCACCTACACCCCCTGTCAGTAACCGTCTAGTTTACTAACAGAAATATGTGATTTTACTTTTTTGCCCATGAATTATATATTAAAATTTATAACTTAAATGAAAAGACTTAAACACCCTCTATTTCTCTCTCTCTCTCCACACAGACACATGATGATGGAAGGTTGAAACCGACGACGTTGACCCCGATCAGTGAAGCTCGCAATAAGAACCCGTGTCGGCCGTGGCTGCACCTTATTGATCCCAAAACCGGTGATGACAAGGCAACACAATAGGAAGCTCCGATGACGATGACGACGACTCCTACGATGCTGACTCTTGTCGTAACTCCACCGACCTCTTCGACCAAACCCAGTTCAGTCCGGCGAGCAGCGATTCAGTCATACTCCGAGAAGTTTTGTTCAGTCCGACCAAGCTACAAGCTTCCTCAACCCACCTTGGTGAAACCCAATTCAAAACGGCCATAGACACGCCAGAGCTCTGTAGAAGAATCCGGCCTAGCTCTATAACTTCGTCACCATTGTCGAAACTACAAGCTTCACCAACTTTGCATCCTGGTGTTGTCGACGACGCAGACGGTGATATTGGTGAAACCCAATTCAAAACGGCCATAAACACGCCAGAGCTCTGTAGAAGAATCCGGCCTAGCTCTGTAACTTCGTCACCATTGTCGAAACTACAAGCTTCACCAACTTTGCATCCTGGTGTTGTCGACGACGTAGACGGTGATGTTCTCCCATTTGTTGATATCGGTGGCAAGGTGTGTCACCGTCAGGTACAGATGCGTTCAACGAAGGCCGTGGGGCAAGCCCTGGACGAAGATCCGTGATCCCAAACGCCAAGGGTCTAGAGTTTGGCTCAGGAAGTAAGGCGATTCTGAACTTCCCTCTCGAGGCCGAAAAGTCGTATGACACGACGGTGTAGTGGGATCGCCGACGTGAAGTTTGTTGGGATCGCCGGTGGTGAGCAAGGAAGACGACGAATTAGGTGTAGAGATTTTTGCCAACGGTGATGAAGTTCGATGGGACGTCACGCATCACCACTAGCTCCTCCTACCACCTTCTTCTTCTTTAACGGCCACCACTATCTCAAAAGGCCACTGCCATTGCCTTTCTCAACCTCCTTCTATGACCCAGCAGCGTGCTTCAGTTCGGTGACGCTACAAGCGTGCTCCAGTACGGCCAAACAACGACCCAACAACGTGCTTCAGTACGGTGGCGCTACAAGAGTCCTCAACCCACCTCGGTGAAACCCAGTTCAAGATGACCATGGACTCGCCGAAGCTCTGTAGAAGAATCCGGTCTAACTCTGTAACTTCGTCAGGATTGTTAGAACTACAAGCTTCAGCGCCGGTAAGATGTTGCCCTTGTCAACCATTCAAAGTTCAGAGCATCGTCGTTCTCCTTGTCTATCGGCTTAGTTACAGTCAGCCTCACACCAGATATTTCATTCCCACCAAACAGTCTTGTCGGCGTCCTCCATTGAAGCATCGCGACATTCATGGTCCGCCTCATGCCAAACATTTCATTCCCACCGAACAGTCCCGCCACTAGCAGATGTTGCAACAGCAGCAATAGTTGCATCAGTTTCAGAGGCGGTGGAGAAGAATCGAAGACGAGTGTTGGCAGTGATCGGTTAAGGGTAATTTTGTAAATTTACATTGGTCAATGAGGCTAAAAATGTCATTTCAAGTATTCAAAGGGCAAAATTAACCTTACACCTATTTGTTCATGCTGACACCGTCAGCTGCTTAACGGCAGGGGTAATTTGCTATATAAGCCAAAACCTCGGAGGTAGGTGAAATATTGAAACATAGAGGGAGTGTAAGTGAAATATAAGCGAACGTCAGGAGGTGTAGGTGGAATTTACCCTTATTTTTATTATCGTGAACACAACGAACCTAGTGTTGTGCTAGTGGAAGGTCAGATACCACTTTGTTGTGACGAATCACAGATTACTTCTTGAATGAACACAAGATAAGATGCACCAAGAACAGAATTGCAATATAGTGCTTGTTGATACATCTTATTGGATCAGACCTTGTTGAATACTGACAAACTCTCTCCCCTTCTCTCTCTCACGATCACCCCAATCGTAACAGCGGGCTCTTACTGCTCATAGGCCTGATCGTTTCAAGACTGCCCCAATCACTGCAAGTTCACCACTTCAACCTGATCATCTCACTGATGAGAAGACCACACATCTAGTCTCAATGTCGCCTCCTCCCAATCTCTTTTCCCCTCCATTGAAACCCTCATTGCCTCCTGGTGCAATGCTAGCCGGACCAACAACAAAGTGTCCAGCAGAGGAGACACACCAACGCCACACGCCACCTTCCAAACCTTCAACGCCCAAATTCCAATATGTCCCAGAGAGCCCACCTCTCTGTCGAATTTGTCCACTTGCATGTTTGAAGCACCTCCCTTCTCCAAATGTCTAGATCTTCAGCCTTGAATCTATGCAGCAAAATTTTGACGTCCCCATCAGTGGGAAGCCACGGCAACCTTGCAACCTCTAGAAAAGAGCGCTCTTACACCTCACCTCAATATTAATTAACCATCTTGGGCTTTAGAATAAAGAACTTTCAAGGTTCACGCCATGACATAAAGCCCTAAGGAGGGAAAGAAGAAAACTAGTTGGATTGAGATTATAACCCAGGTAGCAGACCCTAAATATATATGTGAGGGAAAAGCGTTTGTTGAGTTGATTACTAATCTCAGAAATTAAAGATCAACTCAACAAACTCTTGAGGAGTAGATAGTCATGTAATGATTACTGACTTTCTATAATGTAGAGACATTAAAACCCTAGTTACATTTTACACATGCAGAGAACAGAATAGACAAAATCAGATGATCCGTAGATAATCAAGAATAGAGACTGGTGTTGAAAAATTAACAAGCAGATATAAATCTAACGGCAATTATAATTATAATAAATAATAAAAATGAAATCAACTTCAAGATACCAAATAGAGAACAAGAATAGTAATAGTACGAACCGGCGGGGACGTGATTGAGGGCTATGCCGGTGCTGGAGAGCGCTTGCTGTACGGAGGAGGGGATGCGATGGGTGTCGCCGTAGGCAGAGATGGAGACGGGACCGCAGTAGTTCATCTTCACCAGGGCTGAGTTTATGTTCTGCGCCAAGGCGTGGGGGTCGAAGTTCTTGGGGACTTGGCAGTTCTCGATGTCCCACCAAACCGATGTCTTCGCCGCCGCGTATTGTGCCTCCGCTCTCGCTCCTCCACCGCCGGAGGAGGCCGCCTCGGCCGCTCCATCTTCACCCATGGCCCACTGTAGCAGTAACTAGGCGCACTATAGCATTCCTTTTTCGACTGAGATTTTATCTTCTTTTGTCTTCACTTTATTTATTATTTTTTTTTTCCCAAGTACAATCGTCTCTCTCTATCTGTGTCTGTTTGATGTTATTGACATTAAGACCCAGTTTCAGTTTAGTTGAAAACATAAATAAATAATTGGAAAAGGTTGTAACAGGAATTAATTCTTATTTTTACTGTCAATTTCTAAAATAAGAAATTAAAATTAGGAATAATGTTCAATAAAGTAATTTTACTTTTTTATTTTGGGAAAGTAAAATTTGATATTTTTTTTAATTTCTCCACTATAGATAGAAATTACTTTATTCACGGTAGCATATTTATCCCACCAAAGCCATCTTTCTTCCTCTAACCCATCCTCCTTTGGTAAGACTCGTATCACCAAGACCTAGAAAACCGACGCCACAGCCACTACAAATTTGGGTTCGGGCGATCAGTGACCGGCGATCGGTGACGGAGAGGACACCAACTCCTTTATCTTCTTCTCTCTACCACCACTAACTACTACCAAACGCCGCCGATCATCCATTGAAGACTGAAACCCCTTCCTCTTCCTATTGTTGACCTATCATCTCATCACGCTGGCTCACACCACTACAAGCTTAGAATCGGCCAATGGCAAGTAGTTACCGGCAACGGAGAGGACGTCAAAGTCATAACGCATGAGTGAGCTCACAATAACCCTATCAGAGTCGTAGCGTAGAGTCTTACTGCTTGATTTTAACGTCATCATTGCCGGTGAAGAAGTGAGCTCACAACAAACCCAAGAAGTCTTCATGGTGGCGGGATCACAGTATTTTTTTTTTTTTTCTGACACCGTGATTAGAGCAATTGCAATTATAGTGGGTTTTGTAAGACATTTAATTTTATGTTGATCGAAATAGGTTTGTGGTGAGATTGTTGATGTTTGAAAGCTATGATAGGAGGTGGTGGTGGATGTGAACTTGAATATGAACTAGGATGGTGGGATTGGGTAGATGATAGAACTGGATATACAGGTGATGATTAAAAACAAAAGCAAAATCATAATTATTAAACTTTATTTTGTTATTTTACTTTCAAAATTTTAATGAATTTGAGATATTACCAAACATGATTTCACTTTCTATTTCAGTTCAAGAAATTAAAAGTATGATTTTACTTTTGAAGAAAGTAAAAATAAGAAAGTGAAAGCGTTAGTAAACGGGCCCTATATGGGTTGTTTTCTCCTAGAACAACCTTGCCTTTCATCCCCTTTCCTTTCCTATTTATACACCTTTTCACTCTAATTTCCTATGCTTCGGGCATAAGTTGGGATATCTTGGGCCTAGGCCCCTTCTTCTCATTCTATTCATTCTTGGGCTCCCTCAACCAGGTGATCGGCTCGTATAGTTATTCCCAACCTCATTTGCCTCACGTTGACCCTTATGGGATCGAGCCTATACTTGCTACGGATTGTTCCTCTCAACACGTGACACACTATGATTGGTGGCATGCCTTAGTCGAGTGTTGAATTTTGATTGGTGGACGTTTCCACCCCAACACATTGCCCCAAATCTCGTTTTCACGATAGTGAAAGGGAAATTAAATGTCTTTAGGGAACGATTCACTTTCTTACCTAGAGCCAAACGTAATCATTATTTCCCTCTCGGAGCACGTGACCTTGGATAGCATGCAGGCTCTTATATATTCCCATCGTGTCTAATGCGTTCTCATAATCAATGAATATAGATGTGTATAATATGACAATTGAGAAACACCAATTTTAAATTTATAAAGCCACTACACAACTATATTTAAAGTATAGTGAGTAGGGATCGAACACAGGGACTATAGGCTTTGATTGAAACTAACATTAATGAGTGTGAGATTGAAAAGATGGTGATTGGTTTTTTTAAACAATTAATGTAATTACACTAAGTAAAAATTGCAATTAAGGCAATATGAAACTGAAATTGGATTAAGATAATAATGAGAGGGACTTAGGGTATGGATTTCACCACTAAACCTATGTAATTGCACCAAATGCTTTCAATTAATGGAGAAAACAAGTTGTAATAAGGATGTGGCTACAACCACACAACAATAAGCAAGCAAATATAACAATTGCAATGAATAATCATGAATTATCAAATTCAAGTATGAATTATCTACCTAACTACAATTACTCTAAGATGTAGAACAACCCATCAAGATTAAGCATAATTCATCAAATTAAGAATAACTGTGTCCAATGAAAACAATGCATGGCCATCATTGAATACAATTACTAAAAGTACTCTGTGACAACCCTGGTTTTTGTAGGCCAGCGTGTCCTGTGATGAACCGAACATAGATCCGATAACGAATCCAGAATGCGAAAACAAGACAACAGTCTCCCAAGGCACAACACACCTCTAAGACACTTTGATGACCTTCCATGAGGTCATAGAACTCAATGAGAACTAACGCGGAAGCAAAAGATAGGAAAACTAACAATTGAGCCCCCAAGGGCAAAATAGTCATTTCTGAAAATATGAATTCGGGTGCCACTGAGCATACCATTGGAAAAACAACGAAAAATTAATCAAGATGGACTCAAGAATCACTTGATTTGGAGTTCAGACGAAGGAGAAACGGCATGACGAAGAAAAATGAGCACTTAAGGCTAAAAGGGTAAACTGGTAATATTTTAGGAAGATCTGGGTGCAACTGAGCACAATGTTGGAAAGACAGTGAAAAATTAGTCAAGTTCAAAAAAAGTTCACTCGATTTGAAGTCCAGACGAAGAAGAACGAGCGAAAACAAGAATCGACAACACGTCGTTGAGATGAGCACCCCACGAGCATCTTGATATGTTAGGGGAAGAAAAAAGGCATAGCCAGAACTGAGAGCCCAAATGAGGTCCGGAATGACTTTTTTCTGGAAAAACATAAATAAGAAACCCCCACTAAAATTGAGTTTTCTACCGGACAACGAGGAAGAAAATGAAAAAAAATTCACTGTGAAATACCTAAAATGCCCCTAGATCATAAGAGGTCAATAGGGCCAAAAAGAACTGCTACAGTAACTGTCCATATCTGAGAGAAGAAACAGGCTATCAAACGAATTTTTCTAAAAAAAACACGAAGAAGAAACCCCACCTGAAATCAAATTTTCTACCCGGCTACGTAAGAGAAAATGAAAAAAATACACTGTAAAATGACTAAAATGCCCCTAGATCAGAAAAAGCTTAAAAACTTAAAAAATGCAACTTTGCACCAAGTATGCATTTGACCCTAAATGCATTTCTAGGTTGAAACGAATGTGCACGCAAGTGTAATAAATGATTCTAAGCGTGTGGGAATGGTCCGCGACTCCCGAGAAGCCCTGACTCAAAATCTGACCCCCCAACGGCCAAATATGAGAAAAATGGACTTGAAATGGAATATTTGAAATCCAAAAATATGAAATGGAGTCAAATTACCGTTTGGCCCTTGGTCACACTTCATACATGATTAATGAGACCCTATGAAATAATAAAAATGGAATTCCCACACCCGATGCAAAAGTAATGAAGTAATGACTTACGAATTTTTAATATTTTCATAACATTTCATCAAATCAAGAATTACATAAGATGCGATATAAATGTCATTGGCCTCTGGCCTCATCTCACACAAGTCAAATATATCGTAAAAGGTGTACTTATGTACACATTACATATATGGAATCAAAGATACAAGTTTAGACATTTAAGGCTACAAAATGACATTTCATGCTAACATTTGCATGAAATGGAAACTTAAAAGTTACAAGTCATCCAAAGTATGATGAGCATCACAAACCAAGTCTTCGTACCTAAAAAATGCCTCCATAACTTTGGGGCAAGTAACATAAAGCTACTAGTAGAAGATAAGCATGCATAAACCTAGCATTTTACAATATTATCACCTTAAGGTGAAACAATTCAAGAGGACTCATGCCACCTAGCGTTTATGTCAAAGTGAGACTAAGGGATCATCCTAAGCTACTTTAAAGCATTCTAAGCATACACTACAATATTTGCACAATTAAACCATATAAAAGCATATTATACAGCGCAACAAGATATAAATTCTCAAAGTTATAAACTTGAAATCTGAAATGCGAAATCAACTAAAATGGTCCATACTACCTAACGTCTATGTTCCAAATGAATCTATAGGATCATTCCTAAGCTACCTTTGAACATCAAAACACAAATCACAATATCGATGCCATTTAATTAACATTGGAACTTCCCATACAATGCATAAAGCATAAAGCATGATTTCTCAAAGTAAACATCTTAAAACTTATAATGAGAAATCAAATAAGGAACAACAAGTTACGATATCATCTAGTTATCAACTTTAAATGAAATGCGAAATTAAACAAAGTGGATACTCGGACATCACGCTGAATCAGACCGACACCATAGTTACTTTAGGGTTACTAGCCTACGGATAACCTCCCTATGTGCGCACTAGACTTATAGAGGGACAATCCCCCGTACTAAAACCATGTCCTAGCCGTAGTTATACAACGACATCCCCAAGTTTCCAAAATCAACAAGTTGTGCAACAATGTATATATCAATATGTATATACAAGATAATCAACTATCTACTACGCACAACCAAATTTGGAAACACATACAATACATGCTCTAAGTCTACAACAACTATGGCATGACAAATGTCGAATCTTCAGTATGCAATTCGTTACACGCTATAACAATGTTACTCAATATTAAAAATGTAAACTCATGAATCTAAATATAACAACAATGTTATCCAATACTCAAAATGTAATCAAGTGAATGTACAACAAGTCCAAGTCCATGATTTAAATATAGAAACAACTTCCAAAACACAATTAAATCTATGGTGCAATTAGATAGAATTTAATTAAATAAAAATAATTAAATTCTCTAGATTCCAAACAACCTCAAATCAATACATGTTAAAGGACATAGCACGGTCATCACCGATATCTATTAAAAAACTTAATTAGGTTATTGGAACAATAAAGCAAAATTTAATTAAATCATGCTAATTTAAATCCTAAGGTTGTAAAGCAATTTCAAATGATCCCAAATTAATATATGCCAGTAAACAAGTCTTAGTCATTACGAATATCA